TCTGCCAGTGCCCTTTGTCAAATGAGAGTGTAAAAGGAAGAAGAAACTGTATACAAAGCAATGCAGCAATGCAGCAGCTAGGTTTAATGCAATCTGGGTAACGTTTTACTGAAAGAGCAATCTGCATAGCAAAGATTACAGAGAATTAATCTCGTTTTCCAAATATATTTAGTGTTTGTACACAATGTTCCATTTACACTGGCAATGCTTACTAGGTACCTGCAGAACTTGAAATGGTTTTGTTGACCCCTAGGAAAGCCAGCTGCAGGGAATTATCTAATATGAACATACCACTCACGCAAGAGTAAGTTATGCTGAGGATTTAGGGCAATTCAATATAAGCAAAACAAAACACTGCCTTTTGAAGGGCATCATAGCCGACTATCTTTTCAGCTGCTGAAATGAAAATAAAAGCCTTTTTTCACATCAGCATACAGAGTAACAACCTCTCCTGCATTTCCCCATAAAAGCTTAAGCTTTGAAATGGTGTATTTAAGCTAATTGTGTTAGTGCCAAAAGAAACAGAAAAGGTAGTAAAAACTGTGTCCTTTCTCTTAGCTTTTCTCCATTTGAATACTTAATGTATTTTCTTACATGATTACCTAAAATGAGTTCATCTATTTAAAAAAAAGTAACAATTGAAATATGCATTTACCTCTTGTCATTCTTTTTCTATCCCCCCTCCTTTTAAGCTGTAAAATCATGTTCTGAAGCCTCTAAAAGTAGTGTGACATCTGTGAAATGATGTATTTTGTTTCTAATGCATGCACTCAGCTGCAGATCTGACTTTGAAGTACTTAATTCTGAAATATCGAAAATAATCCTATGTTCCAGAGAAACGGCACTAAGGCATTCAGGACTGCATCTTTCTTATGAAAAGGGCAAGGTAAGAAACGGACCAGACACACCTCATCCTTTTCAGTTCTACTTTGTCACCAGCTTTCCTGTCCCCCCGAGAAACTACACAGCATTTTTGCTCCACGCTTTCCCAAGGCTCACGTGTACCTGGAAAGGAATTCAGAAGTGAGGATGACTGAGTTTTAGGATGAACTGTCTCAAACAGTAGATAAGCTAATGGGATACAAAGTGGAAAGGCCAGGGCAGAGAGCTGTAACCTTCCTCTGGTAAGAGGAAGGCTATTTTGTAGGCTGTAAAGACATTCGTGTGTTTATACCACAAATTCAATTGCCTCATTTCTCAGCCTACTCGTTCTCAGTTACTGTTAACTTCTCTGGGGCAAGCCACGTAAGCCCTTGTACAGCCCAGAGTTTGAGCATAGGATTGTTTCAGCATCCACAACACACACAGCAATGTGACATGGAAAAGTCAGGGAGTGGCTCCTGCTTTGATTTGACCCCACTTCTTTGAGCTAGAGGTGAGGACGGAAGAGGATCAAAGGCCAAGACATTCATACCCACAACAAAAATCTTAGGCTTCGCTTGGGCAGCCCCGTTAATACTTTCTTTGCGCCACAGCAATGTCTTCAACACTTCCCCAAAAACAGAAATGGAAAAAATACGGTTTTCTTTTTGCATTATAGCCCTTTTTTTGTCCCGAGCACTAAACCATCCACTCCCAATTACCAACTTCATGCTTTGCCTGTTTAACACCTAGACCATCGCAGCAGTTGATCTCAGAGACAGCAAGATGTGCCATCTCATCACCCAGCGGAGACATAAGCACCCAGATGATAAACCTGCTTGTTTGACATGCCCCTATGTACTGGCGATTTACTTAATCGGGTCTCACAAAGAAGCAAACTAAACCCACGGCTATTAGAAACAAAGACTGCTTTTTAAGAGGGACGGTAATTTTGCCCAGGCTGGCTGAATCCATTCATTGTCTCCATGACTCCCCTCTGGCTGTACGCTGTAGTCACACTTTCACATACACACATGTGAATTCTCGCTTTGTCTCTCTAAGGCCTTCTTAACAAAATTAATACTGTTGCCAGCTGATTCCTTGACTCTGCCAAGCAAACAGAATGACCCTAGCCATTAAAGTCTCAGAGCCATTCATGCACAGAATAGCAACTTCACTATCCATTACACTAAAAAATAAAATCCTAAGGTATCCCAAAATTTGGGGAGTTATTCAAAGTTTGACTTTCTTTTCTAATAAACACCTAAATAAAAAACAGAGCTACAGGGTAAGATGCTAAATGCTTAGTTATTGACGAAAGCACTCCTAGAGTATTTCACTAATGGCTCAGACTTGATTAATATAAAAAAAGATCGTATTGATTTTGCTTAAAAAACATTTTCGAAGTGCTTGACACGCTGGCAGAAGAAATATATTATGAAGTGCACAGAAAAACTGCCATTTAAATAAGGAAGAAAGAGAGCCAGCCAGGCAGAGACATTAGGAGGAGACAGATGACGAAGCCCTTGTCAATCAGCACCGGAGGCAGAGTCAGGGCCAGCCTATGGCAGCATCCTACTACGGACTAAGGCTCGCAAGTCCAAATCCAAGACAGACAATACTCAGCTCAAAAAGCAGGACACGTTTTTCTGCCAGGACTTTCCCCACAAACAACGCTCATTAAAAGGAGACAGATCTTTCAGTCTGTGTCATGGATATATTTTAAATGGTAAATCACAGAGAAATGCATATTTTCTGGCCAGAGCAGCATAAAATTCCTATTAGCTACCGCTTGTCTCAGCTGGGCACTCAGTACCAACTCTTCTACTAGTCTCAGAAATACTGTGTACACACTTTTCCTCTCAGTCTAAATAGTCGTTAATGTCATGACTGACAGTAATGAAGATCCAGGATCACAGGACATTTTGTTCTGGAAAAAACTATGTTTTTCTGTGGATATAGCCCAATTCTGAAGTCTGGTACCTCAGGGACATGCGTGTTAATAAGAAGTTAAAATGTGTATTTCCCTAGGTTCCCATGGGAACACAACACTTCTGGATCTGGACAGTTTCAAGACACTGGGTTAAACACTTATTAAAACATATCTTAAAAAGCTATTCCTAGATTTTTCAGTGGCTTCCCAGTTGCTATTCATTGGGACTAATGGCTCAAGGGGCAGAGACCCATTAAAGCAGAGGGGTACCTAGGAAAGAGCATGCCAGTGAGGCCAAGCACCTAGGAAAGTCACTGTGAAGCAGCCAGAGGAATCTGAATGTTTGAAAAGATAACTCAGCTGTTTAGGACTGGAAGGGGGCTGACGCTCATCAGTGGTCATAACCCAAGCTGTTATTGCATAATTATTCACGACCTTATGCATTCTTTACACTGTGTCTTCTAAGAACGCCTACCTGCTATCTGCCCTAGTGTTTTGTGCTATCCGGCCATTTACGACTGCAACCCAACTTGTAAGTGAAATAGCTTCTGTAGTTCAATACAAGTCATGTGGGGAGAAGTTCATCATTAATTTGAGATAAAGAAGTTCTGCCTTTATTTCTGAAGGTGACAGAACCTAGCACTGGGGAAGATGAGAGGAATCCCAGGGAAAGAAAGGTCTAGCTAAAGCTGGCGAAAGTCTCTCTACTTGCTACAGGAGGAATAAAAACATCGAGGGAAGTTGTATTTGTAAATTGAAAGATACACCTCCAGTCTTTAGAAACACTACCTGCACACCTTCTGCAGATCCCTGAGTGTGTACAACTGCATCCCTCCTTCCCCAATGCTTTCCAAGCGCATTAGGACTCGCAGCCTAAACCAAAACTTGCTGGTGTCAACAGGATGCTTTCTTTGGAGTGTCATTCCATTCCTCTCAAGTGACTAGACTATGGAACAGATCCTGTCTTCTCAGGATCACAGATCTGTTAGCAATAATTACAACAGACCAGTTGCAAGCTGATCTAAAAGCGGGTGAAAATATAATTCTCCTCTGGCAATTAAAAGTATCAGGGAGTCTTACATGGAATAACAAGAAAGCCATGGTGAGCATTGAACAAACAGATGAGAGAAAAAAAATGTGCTAGACGCTTATAACACTGTATACAAATGTACCCTATTAATAGAAAGATTTCTCAATTGCCCTAATTTTTAGAGAAACAAATCCCTGTAGATGAAACAGTAGACTAATAGAATTATATCTGCTGGGCTATTTTTAAAGAAGCAAAAAGGTAAATAAAATGAGAAGTTAATCTAGAAGATCACTGGGATAACATAAATTAGGTTCTTGGAAAAATACAGATTGACACAATAAAAGAAGCTGCATTTCAATCAAAGTCTTTGATCATTCGAGATAAGTATACTGGAAAATGAAATTTTCTGCTTTATTTGATTTCTTTAGGAAATAATCTCTTTCTTCTCTGTTTCTATCCAAAGCACCAAAAAACCCACCCCAAAAAGAAACAACTAAAATCTCCCACTGTTCTATTACTGAACACAACTCTTTTCTCCCACCTCTGAAATTAAAATTTCTTACAAAGGTTCCTTCATCCACTGCTGCTACAGTGCTCTAATATTTCAATTTACTTGCGATATTTTCAACATTTCCCTTAAGTTCCTTATATGAATATATGAAAGAAAACTATTTACTGAACAATAAAACATAAACTCTATCCTCCCTCTAAACAAAAGCTTCATTAATCTTGCATAGACTTCAGTTTCTTATTGTATGGAAAACAAAAAAAACCCTACAGATGTCTGGAAAGGTATCCTGCAGTAAGAAACTTCAGAATATTTATTTCATTTCTGAGATTGAAAGTAAGGTTGGAACTTAATCATCTCACATAATACCTTTTTGTAAGGTGCAGACAAAGACATAAAAGGCAGCGTGTGGAGATTCAAGTCAAGTTGGGAATAAAACACAACTTCTTTTAAGCAATAGAGGCAATTAGCTATCAAGATAACTTACCATAGAAAGTAGCAAGTCCATTAACACAGAGTCATTAAATCAAATTTTCATGTCTCTCTCAAAAAGAGACACCTTAATACAAGCACAAACTCTTGGCTTTACAACATTCAATCACTCAAAGTAAGAGAGTCAAGTCCCTGTACTCCAGAACCAGAACCCAAAGGTGCATAAGTTGTACAAAGCCACAGCAGGCCACTTGGCCAGCAGCAGCACAAAACTGTAACGGCAGTCAGTCCATTCCCCCGGTGACATTTCTGGGACAATTTCAAAAGCAGGGCTTTCTCTCAGATACCACTCGCATGTTTAAACTACTCATATTCCTCATTATGGCAAGAGGAAAACAGACCCACTACTAACTTGTATGGGGTTACGTTGAGAAGGTCTTTTAGGATAGTTCATTACACACATGGAAACAAGCTAGGGTACTTTTTTAGCATTCTCAAACCACTGTCTTTTAGTCATTTTGAAAATCCCAAGGGAAGCAGTGGTGACAAATAATCGGTGCAATCAAATTCTGTTGACTACGTGAACTGTGAAACAGGCCCTCACTGCCCTAGTGAATTAAAATGGCTTCAGCAAGGATCCCTGATGGTGGAGCCCTCTGTTGCCCATACAACTAGTCAGGACCAAATCAGTCAAAGCCCGGAAGCACATCAACCTTCTACCCAATCCACGGGAGACAGCTCAAGCAACACACAGATGGCAAAAGTAAATTCCACAGGCCCTATGAAGGGCATAACAATTAACTATACTTTAAATTATGGATGGTCACGAATTGGGACATTGTACCAGAATAAGGTGTGTACACCTATAATGATGACTGTACTCTTCAGAGCACTTGTTATCAAACTGTTTATACTTAAAACTATTCACTTACACTGATATTTCAGACAATGTAAAATATTAGCATCTACATTTAATGCATTCTGGATAACATTTGACTGAAAGAAGAATCTGCATAGGAAAAACTACAGTAAAATGGACATATCCTGAAATGGATTTCAAGAAAGCAAATTGCCACACCACATTCTTGTATCGTTCAAGCCATGACAGTCTTGTCACCATGATATTTCACAGTTTGATTACCAGCTATAAAGAAAAAAGGTTTTTGGGTTTTTTTTGGAACACATTTATCAAACCTTCGTTTATAATTTTTTTATTGAGGAATTAGCAACAGCAGCTATATTGCACCCTACAAGTCCTTTAAAAGTTTATGAAGATTTGACATCAGTGGCAGATCCATTTACAGTACGCAAAAAGGAAAACAAACAGATGAGGAAACAGCAAGCGCTGGATATTTTCAGTGCATGTTCCAACCCCAGAAAACAAAAGAGCCATTTTTTCTTGCACTTGCAGTTTGCCCCCCTCCTAGTACAGACTTGTAAACTTACACAAGAGGCAAGACAACCCCAATTCAATCTTAAAATGTCTCAATCATTCAGTCTTTTTCCTTGACCCAACTTATCAGTTATCTTCACAGCTCACAGCAGTTTCACCAGGATGCTCGGTCTTCAATTTTTTATGAGACAGCTCTCCTGGGAGAAGAGATGTGCAATGCTCTAAGGATCGTGCAATTTCATCAATTGTCCATTTGTCTTCATAAAGGACATGCTCCTCTAGCGTAAATGGCCCCTGTTTGGTTCGGGTCAGCTCTTGCATAGTGGCACAGGTACAGAGTTCTACAGTAAAGGAGAAAAGGATTTAGAAAAAGTGTGTGGTCAAGTTTAACTATTTGCAACTCAAAATTATTTTTACGTGTAGCCTTCTACATTGTTCTGCTTTGTTTGAGAAGTTCATGAAAATTTGTCACTCATTTACATCTTCTTAAATCTGAGGCAAGGAACTCCTTTGATTTCATAGAATCACAGAATGTTTTGGGTTGGAAGGGACCCCTAGAAGTCATCTAGTCCAACCCCCCTGCAGTGAGCCGGGACACCGCTAACTAGATCAGGTTGCTCAGAGCCCCATCCAACCTGGCCTGAAATGTTTCCAGGGATGGGGCCTCCACCACCTCTGGGCAACCCATTCCAGTGTTTCACTACCCTTACTGTAAAGAATTTCTTCTTTATATCCTACATTACCCCTTGTCCTGTCACAGCTGTCCCTACTAAAAAGGTTTTCCTCATCTTTCCTATAGGCCTCCTTTAAGTACTGAAAGGCCGCAATCAGGTCTCCCCGCAGCCTTCTCTTCTCCAGGCTCAACAAGCCCAACTCTCTCAGCCTGTCCTCACAGGAGAGGTGCTCCAGCCCTCGGATCATTTTTGTAGCCCTCCTCTGGACCCACTCCAACAGTTCCATGTCCTTCTTGTGCTGAGGGCTCATCAGACAGCATTTAGGGGACTTTTATTTTAAAACTACCCATCTTGAGACAGATCAGAGCTTTCATTTTAGAAAGCAGCATCTGTTTTGTCTTTTGGAGCATACACACAAAAATTAAATTTGACCTCAGTGTCCTTCTCAACTTTGGATATGTCCAGAAGCAGGAATTGGAAAGTAACTGACAGTGGACTCAGAGGAAACACTTGAAGAGAATTACGATAAAACTTCGGACTATTAAATAACAATAAGGCTTCTTTATTAGTAGTAGTTAATGTAGGTCTTCAGTACTTTAGGAGCGGCTGAGAGAACTGGGGGTGTTCAGTCTGGAGAAGAGGAGGCTGAGGGGAGACCTTATCGCCCTCTACAACTACCTGAAAGGAGGCTGTAGGGAGGTGGGGGTCGGCCTCTTCTCCCTCGTAACAGACGACAGGACGAGGGGAAACAGTCTGAAGTTATGACAGGGCAGGTTTAGGTTGGACAGTAGGAAAAACTTCTTCACCGAAAGGGTTGTCAGGCTCTGGAATGGGCTGCCCAGAGAGGTGGTTGAGTCCTCATCCCTGGAGGTATTTAAAAGAAGGATAGATGAGGTGCTTAGGGACATGGTTTAGTGGTGGGATGGCAGGGTTAGGTTAAAGGTTGGACTCGATGATCTCAAAGGGCTTTTCCAACCAAAGTGATTCTATGATTCTGGGCTGCCAGCGCACATTGCTGGCTCATGTCCAGCTTTTCATTCTAATTCAATAGATCTCCAGTGTAGTAAAGATTCAAAATCTGACAGAAAGTTGTCAAAAGGTTTTCCAGATTTAAATCAGAATGAAGAGAGAGGAAATAATGACATAAGATGCAAGCAGAACGTTTTCTATTCACAAGTGACTTAGAAGACCATGTACTACTTTTCCACAGACTTTGAGGCCTTAACACTTCTTGCCTTCAAGAAAGATTTTTAACATTTTTATCCCATATCACCTATCAGGATAATATAAACTAAGATCAGGAAAAATAAAAAATACAAACAAATGCTCTGCTATGTTAAATAAATACCAGTAGGACAGAATTACATAATGAGGGGAGACAAAACATAACAGCAATCAGAGCTGACTTGTAAGCACACAGGGATACTAAAATATTCTCTGCCATCCTTTCTGATGCAGAAGGATTTTTACTGCATTTTAAATTTTTGAAAAGAAACCAACTGAGGACAGACTTTATCTTGGTTTGTCATTAAAGGACTAAGCATAAGCCAGTATGCTCAGAAGGCAGTAACAGAAAGAGAATCTTTGACTTGCCTAAGCACAAACAACATTGAAATTCATAGGGTTATCCCACATCACTTGCTTTCTTGATCTGCAAATGTATCATTTAAAAAAAAAAAAATTGAAATGGATTATCTGTTCTCCATCATACAGTTTGATAGATACAGAGCACAAGACAAATAACCCTGTGGGGAAGCAAAACCATTCACAGTTCAGGTAAACAAGAAAGAAAACACTAGAAAAATCATCACAAATGTAGCAGTCTTTCCAGCAGATAGGGTTTATTATGTGCATGGTAATGTTCTGTGCAATCTGTTTCAAAATGTGATGAATAACGTTTAAAAAGACAGTATCTTCTTCTTCTCACCCTTAATCTGAGTTAGCTTTAACATATGGAGGAGAAAAAAAATCCCCACCTTGCCTTGTATTATCTTGATCAGTGCTATTACTTGCTCCATTTTTATCCCCCAGCCCCCAAGGTCCTCTGGCAATTATTTAGCCTTCGTTCCCCCATGCTCCCAAGGAAAATACTTCAGTATATAAAAACAAGTGATAGCACTACAATTCTGCAAAATAATATACAGATCTGGTCGCTGGGGATACAAAAAATGACAAATTTTTTCCATAAACAGACACATTCATTCCTCAAACTGTCATGGTTTTTTTTCATGCCTACCTTTGCCAATGTCACTGACCAGGCTCCTCACATAAAAGCCACCACCACATTCAACATCTGGAATGTTAATAGTCACATGGTAAATTGCCAGTGTAATGTGAAATCTACTTTACATAGAAACCATGCCCCCACATAAATGTAAAAATGCGCTAAGCAAACAACCCAGTGATAAAATATTTATAGGATGCGACATCAATTATTCATCCTGTAACATATGTGCGGGTGAGACTGCTAAGCCAGGCAGGAGGGAAAGCAAATACAATGGCAACTGAACTAACTCGCTAGAAATTAAGTACTTGCTGTGGTATGTTAACAAATGCTTCAGTCCTATTAATTTTCAAGTTTCACAAAGCTGTTACTTATTTCTAATGATGAAAAGGTGTTTCAAATATAATCTAAACTATCGATGCTTTCAAGATACTGCACACAGGCAGCTCCAATAAAATTTTAAAATTCACCTTTAACTTTCCCTGCTCTCTCATCCCTTCCCTTCCCCCTCTGCCAGTGATCAGCTGCTAGTCACCCAAGCGTAAAAGTAAGGGCTGAAGTAACACAGCACTGAGTTCTGTCACTCATACCTGCTCATCAGGTAACATCTGGTCCATCAAGAGGACTATGGGTCAAGTAGGTAGCTGATCAATGCAAGACATTATCTCGAGCTCACAGTAGCATCAAACATTTACAACAGTCTTTTTGGTTTATTTATTAACACGCTTCTTGATGTACTACCCAAGTTTCTTCATGTATGACAGAAGGAAGGATAAGATCCCCCTCCTCAGCTGACAAGGAGGCCTGACAGTTATCATTACTGGTCCTTGCTGCGCCCTCGGAGAGATGCCAGCAGGTCTGGGCATGTCGGTAAAAGAACGGGCAAAGTGAAGTAAGCAGACCTGAGAAAGGAGGAGCAAGCTGGACGTTGCAAAATCCTCAACAAATGCAAATAATCCCCTGACCAGCCTCTCAGAGTTTTCCCTCACAGAAAGATTACATATAATCAGCTTAACTTAAAACCAAAATACAGTGGTTTTACCGCGAAGTGAAAGTCTCTGCACATGGGCTCCCACCAAAATAAGTAGCTGAAACCCATTTTACTATCTTATTCCCACTCTGAGTGTAAATAAGCACTAACAAGCTGGGAGCATTGCTCTAAATAATAATCTTTGGCCATTACCCAGTGTGAACAGTGGTGGCTGGAACTGTTGGAGAGAGAGGCTGTACACTCTTACTGGCCGAGCAGGCTTTGCTTCGACTGCTTCTCCTCTTTTCATCAGAGTTGATAGCCTTTCTCCATCCTTCTTCAAAGCAGAATAGCTGATCAGATAGAGCATGAAAATGTGTGTCATACGGTTGTAACCGAACAAGCTTCCCATCCTCCAGATCCTGTTAATATTGTACTACAGTAGCATACATTTTACCCTTCTAATCCTCTCCAAGTGCTCACAAAAAACCTCCAACCTAGCAAATGCTTCTGAAATGTCTTAAGACACAGAATCATCTCATTCGTCAGGAGCTATGTAAACTGGAAAACAAGAGACAGTCTTGTATTTATCTCTTGCTGTACAGACTTAAAAGTGTTTCATCACTCAATTTGTAGTTTATGAAAACAAAGAGTTTCCATAAGGGATACAACACTTGCAGCTGCCTCCAAGATACTATCTCTCAGAAGTCTGCAGGGCTGCTCAGGCAACTCCTGTGATTCTGCCTTGCACCTTTACTCATCTCACACCAGGATCTTCCCTGAACAGCAACTGCCAAATTACATAGCTTTATTATAGGGTGTTTAGCAGATCACTATAGAACAAACAAATTAATTTCACTGATTACATGAAACTTCATACAAAGCTCCAACTTTGGTCTTGACAGAAAGATGACAAAAGAAAAAAAAAAAAAAAAATAGAAAGATCTTGCTCAAATCAGTAGAGGGTAATTTGAAACAGGTCACATGAAGCAGAACACATACTGAATTACTGACCTTACAGGGCTCACACTGGAACCACAGTAACCAACCCATAGCAAATGCAAAGGAAAGCATGTTAGCTTAAATCACCATAAAAGCCATCTGTCACAAGCTAAGTGCTTGCACACTGCCAGCTACTGTGGCTCACCTGACTAGAAGAAATCTGCTAAGCTACAGAAGCTCAGTCACTAATCACTCATTCATACTCAGAAAACTAATTAAAAATCATTTAAGGCACTTCCACACAGATGTCAGTAAGCCTTCCCTTACTCCACAACTAAAATTAAAGACTCTGAGCTTTGCTTTCTAATAGGAAGACAGGACAGAAGCCACCAAGTTTAAGACTGCCTTGCTACTTTACATGTACCATAAAAAACCCCCAGACTCCAGGTTACCATTTGTGCTTGATGTTCAAACGGGCATGACCTGAAGTTACAAATATTAAATTCCTAAGTCTGCCTTGCCTCTATCCTCTTGCCAAAATGTGTCTTTTTATTTCTGAGAGAATTGACTTCTGTTGGCAAGTCCTGACAGCTGAACACAACTGCCAAGACTGTCTGAATATTGAGGAACTTACAGTGGAGGAACTTGCATTATGTCCCCTGTGAACTTCTGCAGCACATTTTCAAGATCTCCTTTTGTTATCTGGTCTGTAGAAAGAAAACAGTAAGTATGTTAGCATTGATTATTCACATGGCACTAATGGCATCAATCATGTTCTGCAAACAGATACAAAGAAGACGTCCCTCTTGTCTGAATTTAGATTGGGTGAAAAACACCAAAGAAAAGAGATAAAAAACAGACTGTAGGTAGGAGTGTGAATTATCACAAAAGGAGTGGAACAAACTGTCCAAGGTGATTAAGATAGTCTGGACGCTTTCAGAAGGGCAGAAATCCCAATATACACAGTTTTCTTTCACAATTTCTCTCTCTTGGGACTGAAATTCGTATTTCGTGGGAACTATGCAGAAACTACAGAATTTGTCCTACTGTAATTTTTGTTAAAGGACCAAAAAGAATAAAATGCTCATCTAACCTTGGCAACTTCTCTTTAAGAGTATCTGAGTGCAGGGAAAAATACAACCTATTTACTAGAGAACAAAAGCATCGTGGCTTTTTTTCTAGCGAAAGAAAAGACTGCATCTAGAACTACACAGCAAATTTCCTTATCAAACAACTACCTGCAAACGCACACCAGGGTATTATTATATATTAAGTAAGGCAACTTTACTGAATAAATCCTGTAAAAGAAAGATACCTGCTTTGGGCAACCTACTCTCTTCTAAGAGTACATGTACACACCTGTCCCACTTTTATTAGAAGGCTATAACCTAAGTAGCTGATTACATTGGTCCTTTGAAATACTGTTCAATGGAGATTACATTCATCCCTAATTTGTTTAGAGAGTACAAACATCTGTAATCACAATGTACTTCTGTGTATTTCTACTGTCTAGGACTTGACTAGTCCTGTTTCTCATACGTTAAATTCAATTAGTGTCACCCTGCTAAGTTAACAGCATCCTGGAACATAAACAAACCACATTTATTTATGGGGCCTTCATTATGCTTTGGAACAAACTTTTCCTTGCAAACCTTACAAAACAGAGGTACTTCATGCCTTAAGGAAAAAAAAGAAGAGGTTTCTTTCCACAGCAGCTTTGGAAGATGGCAACGTAGTACCTGACTTTTGCAAAGCACTCACGAGCAGATGCTGTCCCTAGGCCCCAGCATCTGTCTCAAGAAATGTCATTAACAGCAAGGCTGCAAGGCACAAAAGTCAGTCAGGGATGCTGATACGATGCTGAATCTCAGAATACGAGATAGGAACAACAAAAATCAATTGTATAGTAAGTCTGGATCTTCTTCTGAAGAGCTTCTTACATGGTTATTTCAATCTGTATTACTCTAGTTTAGCAACATATCACAACAAAACTCCATGGTGGAAAGTTAGCATGGCCCAGATGTATGCCAGTGATCCTTCTTGTGAACCCCAGGTTGCTTCAGGTTAGAATCCAGTATTTAAGATCTAAGCATAAGTGTCACTTGGGTTCTCTTTCAATTTTCACCCCATAAATTGCATTTGTGGCTAGGGCATTTAATGAGACACCTGAGTTCAGTTCTTGCTCTGATCTCCTGTTCCCCTGATTGAGACGTTACATATAGCCTCTGAGGAAATCACTCATGCTATAGGTAATCTCTGTCTCCGTGAAAAAAAAACAAACAACCCAACCACATGAGGAATGAAGTATTAAGCCATCAACAAACAAAGTTGTATGGTGTATTATCAAAGCAAATATTTACAGATTAGTTTGCTAAGTTCTAGAATAAATCATATTTGTCTTCTGCGATACATCATGGCACAAGCTGGCTAGTATTACATTCTGAAAGCCTTAAACCATGTGCTGTGGTTTTGGGTTTTTTTCTTCTCAACATGCACTGCCTTTGTGTTAATGGACTGTGTTGGATTCTTGCCCTCTCCTAAAACAACACACAAGCTGGTGGAGCTTTCACCCAGCTCTCAATCATAAAGAATGTGCTATTAGTCTCGTCCCAAACAAACAGTTTCACTATGTCTGAACTGTACATTTGTGCCAGGCACCATTTGGACTCCTGGCTCTGCAGGGCACACAGCCCACACTGGGAACCAGCTCCTTCACCACCTTTCAGCTCCCACAAGTCATTACATCTACAGGTAGGGGGAATGCAGTCCTGCTGCCCAGGAGAACCACTTCCCTTCAGGCCCTTGGCCCACCGGTCTCCCTCACCCAGATGTGGGCTTGGGTTTAGTAGGTTAACACCTTGTCTGGTCAGCAAGTTTAAGGCAGCATTTGCACTCAACCCTCCATCAAGCATCAAATATAAACACACCCACAAAGGCTAATTAGCATCAACAGTCCCAAAACTTTCGCCATTTGACTTCCCTTCTTCACTCCCTGAGAGTAAGGGGTTGAGAGATGTTTCTGCAGAACACACCTGTCACTGCCCTTGCTACCAAGCGTTAGCCTATTCCTCATTGCAAATACCAAATATCCTCATCTGCTATATCGTGGATCATGAATTTTTGCTAGAAGCTGGACTTAAACTGCAGCTCTGTGTCCTTCCAAGGAGGGGTGTGGGGGCTGCCACTCTGTTTCACTGTGATTTCAGTGAGGATTGTCAAGGTTTGGCCCACAGGATAATTGCATCCAGTCCCCAAGAATAACAACAGCCTTAGCTTAGAACAAAACAATTGCACATGCTCTGTGAGTACGCTATTTAGAATACATCCAATTCAACACTGTTTTCTATATTTCTTCCTAAGCCCTTAGACTGGGTTATGTGATCTCTGCATAAGCAATGAGTCTTCCTTACGATTCTATCAGCAGCTCAAAGTACACAAAACTTCAGTTCTCCAACGCTTCTAAAAACATTGAAAAGGAGCCTATTAGCTTTCAATATGAAAATTTTAAAGAACAGTTGTGCTTCTGAACACTGGTGACTGTTGATCGATTTTCCTGCTATAATCATAAAGGAGGTTAATAAAAGCTACCACACTAAAAGGACCCAATTGTGCCACAACCTCAAGAAGCCTCCACTGATGGGTGATACTGCCCTGTGCTTGTTAACAAACTATACCAAAGCAGAACACAAGATTATCCATGACAGCCCAACAGAACTATAGCAGATGACCTTGACTCAATCAGGTGCAGCACAAATTATTTGCAAACAGACAAGCAGAATGCTGAAAGGACTACTTTTTCCAAATTATTCAGGTAGTGCTCTTAAACACATATTTCACCATAATCAGCAGAGACCTGCAGAAAATCCTCATGAATTTTGTTCTTCATGTCTGGATATAGTCTGTACACAGCTGGGAACAAGTGGGTTTCAGAATGCACATTCCTGTGGATAGTTACAAACATTAAAAAAGGGCGACAAACATTGATGTTCTCAAGAAAGCATCAGAGGAACACGAAACGCTACTTGCTTCCAAAGTCAGCATCTGATAGCCTGGGAGCAGTATGAAACCCTAACCTAATTTCATGTGGAAATGCAAATTCATTGTCTGATAAGAAACAAACAAAAAAACATGACAAGTTCAGGAGGGGGAGTACATGTACAATGAAAGTACATCCTTTCATTGCAACCAACTGTAATAAACAGTTTACTTTCTAAACTGCTGTCTAGGGACACTTTGAGGACTAAAATATAACATTTCCTTATAGTTAATATAGCAAGCAACTTTCTGCAGGCACTTTCCTCTTGAATGACTCCACTGGACCACAAGAAGAGTTTTATGTATCTTACAAGCTGGTTTAGTGCCCTTTCTCTGTACTAAGGCCCAATCCTGGATGCTGCTGGCACTGTAGGATTTATATTCCATAGCAGATGCTCTGCTTCTCCCAGGATCCTTCTAGGTGTCAAAGAAAAACTGAAATTCAGCTCAAATATCTGGTTTGTCTGTTCCTGAAGCACCAGTTGGGATTAGGGACGGTGGGCCACTCAGAGTCATGCAAAAAAACCAAGCTGCTTTGGAGAAGACACCGGAAAAGATGAGAAATACCTGTTTTATGAGAAGAGGAGGAGGGAAACACAAACTATGTAGGTAGCATGGAGAAAAAGAAAGAATACGCAGGTTCTCTCTTTCTTCTTTCTGAAGATTTCAAACCTGCCTGATTTGCACTGGTGTGGAAAGCCACTGAGACCAATTTCACAAGCATTTATTTCAGCTGTCAGCTTCAGCAAAAGGAAACTTTGCCCAGCACCCAAAACTGCACTGCCCTGGCAATGCCAATACTGTTCTTCATGAGACCTCATGATGAACTGGCTCATGCAACTGATCCCAGTTTAAAAAGGTAAGCAACTCAAAAAAAGGGGGTAATTTTAACCCAAATCAGTTACCCAAGCACACAGTCTAACAGAAAGCTAAGCCACCATAACAGAGAAGGTGGTGCAGAGGTGGGAACTACTATAACAAGAGCTGCCAGTGAAAGAAACGTGCACGAAAACAACACTCCAATTTTTGTCAGCAGTAAACAACACAAAATAAAAAAAGCAAGACTAGTGTTTCAAGAAACAGGTTTGGTTTTTTTTTTAATTAATTGACCATGGGAGTTGCAGCTACTTGAAATTATATTTCACAGTTTATATGTGAGCAAGTATCTACAATGAATACTACTCAGCGCAGCAGAACCACAGCATTCCACTTTCTGGGAGGTATACATCAAAACCAAGAAAGTGTTCTCCAACCATCATGATGTGTTGGCAACTCTAACGCCATGTGGACGCTCAGGCCTTCCGAAGCTTAGAGAGACACTTAGAACTCCATCCTGAAGCAGAAGCAAATGATCCAACATCTCTGAATAACATTACCTAGTAAATAATACTATTTAGAATGATCCATCAAGTTGATGTGGACAAGAAACTCACACTTGCCTGCCTTGTGCAAAAAGAAAAACTGCAAAAGAAATGAGATTGGGGGCGAGGGGTAGAATTCAGGCCACCTTTTTCATCATGCTATTAAAAAAAAAAAAAAAAAAAAAAAAAGGTAATTTACTTCATGTACCTATTATCAGGTACCACAAACAGCGTGGGACCTGTAAGAGTTACTAAGCAACCAGTCACCTATTGGTTTTGGGTTTTTTTACTATTTTCCCCTGGTTGTGAAAGAACTAATGGCAAATGCATTTGTTGTGTCCCTGGTTAGTCCTACGTTGTTTTTAAGATGCCTGAGGTATTGTGGAATGTCCAATCCAACAAAGCCACAGTCAGGATTAGTTCTGAAGCCTTAAACTCTTGCACTGTGCTCTGTGGGTCAGGAAAGTTCATTTATTAAACTTTCTAGGACAGAGACTAGAGGCAAGAGCGAGATTTGGTAGGTGAACATATCTAGAAAGTAGCTTATACCAACCTCATTTTATGTTGAGCATTATGTTGTAGTTAAAGGCGCATCCTAGAGGGAAGATAAGTACTTTATTCCTTCACTGGCCTTGAAGGGTGTTACTAAGAGAGCACTCGTAGGACTACATGCTGAAAGAGGAAAATTTTACTAGACATAGCATGTCACTTGTCAGCCTGTCAGCCCAGTTCTATTTTCTCCATCCTAATCTAATGCATAGTTTGGTTTTTGGGGTTTTTTTCCCCAACAAAAATGAACGCTTGCACTGAACATAATTGCATGAAGCTGGGCTGAATTATATAAGCACTGAAGTTGAAGATGAAATAATCTTAGTTTGATTTCACATTTAAACTTAATTCACACAGTCCCAAACATGTCTTCCTCTTTTTTATGACAGAGATCATTTATGCCTTCAAATTACATCAAGTATATAGATACATTTATCCTTACCATAAGGTTTTTCTTCAGTTACTTTTCCTGTAGCATCTAATGTATCGGTAGCTTTGCCCAGTAGTCCAATGGCAGTGTACTTCTGGGAAGGAAGAAAAGAGATTAGTGAGTCAGGTCTTCAAGGCTGTTTTGCTTTTTGGTTTTTTTTTGTTGTTGTTTGGTTGGTTGGTTGTTTTGTTTTTTTTTTAAATCAAGACTGCAAGTAGCAAGTACTTCCAATCAAGACAGGAAGAATACTATTTGAATAGTCAATCCAGCAACTTTGGGTAAACAAAAGTGAAGATGAAAAGACATGGAACTAAACAAAAATTAAATCCTGCATTACATGCACCTATGATTTCAGTTTTAGAAACCCCAGGAAGAAGCAACATGGAATCTAATTTTTACTATGAATACATCAGTACCATAAAGAAAATAATAGGGTGGTAAAATCTAAGTCCCTGTGGGATGTCATATGTCACTGTTGAAGCAAGGCACATTACAGTACCCTTCACAAACAATTTTTCTGTTCCTTCACAATTTAAAGAAAAAAAAAAAAAAAGACGACACAAAAACCTTTACTTGTGAAAGCAAAGCACCCGCTTCCAAGGCAAAGCATTGCAACAGTTCTCCCACGAAATGCAGTGATGTGTGACAGCCTAAAGATGGAGTTTTGAACATCTGGAATCTGGTAACGATCTTGTGGCTAGCATGAGGAGTGCAAGGCCACTAGTGACATCTCTGCTCGTCACAGGTTCTCAGAACATTTCTGGTTTGGGATTTTTCCTCACACAGTTCTTCTCTAAAGAATTTTTCAGTGTATGTGTTTGTAGCTCGCAAGAAGAAATTAACCTGTTCCCAGGCCAGTAGCTCTTGTCCTTATTGCATTTCAGTTGACTTCCTTATCTTCCCCATTTTCACCCTAAGTACTGCTGGGCTGTGGGCATACTGCAGAAACTGCTCAAGCTGCCAGAAGGATTCCCATGAACCAGCTGCCTCATGTCTTTTCACAAGGCTACCAACAGAGCAAGACCCACTGTAACATGAGTTGGGGTCAAATTTGGAGATACCTTCAGGTATTAAAACCTGTGGTTTGACCCACTGCCTATCCCATCCCATTCCATTCCCCTCAGTCCTATGCCAAGTCCAGTGGCCTTCAAAAGTAAAGCATTTATGTAGCCTGGGAGAGACAAATCAAGGTGTTCCACACACCTAATTCCCAGTAAGGTTTCAATGAACTTACTCACAACTAAGCTAATAGAAATTTGAACCAAGTCATAAAAGGATGTATCTTCTAAAAGTTGGTCGATCAAATTCTACTGGAACACAGCCTAACAGGTTATAAGCACTAACATTCTACTCTTTGATACAATGCATCCTTTTTCATGTACTTGTGAAGTACAAACAAGCTCAAGTAATAATAGTGTAGGCATATAAATCACACCTACAAAATGGGACTAAGACATGCCTTGATTTTGTTCCATGTGACAACCTGCCACTTGCATGTATTTCTTCAAGCAACTGCCATGAAATGGAAGCAGCGGGAATAGTCAGACAAAAGGCAGTGGAGTGGAGACTTTAATATAAAAATAACTGTATTCTTTGCTTAGCACATTAAGGCTACCTTTTTCCTAAATACTGCAGATATCTGAATCCCCTGACAACTCTGTAAAATTAGGCATTTTGAAATCAAATTCTTGAAGTTTACACGCTTTTGGAACGCATGGAAAAGAAATGAAAGGAAGAATGGATAAAGGCTGCTCCACAACAAATATTTAAATAAACTTTAATGTATATTGTCTGCTTTTAGGACCGTAAAATTACCTGCTATCCGAGACATTTAAAGATCTAGTTCTTAACATTTAATAGCATGGCTAGAAAGAGACACTAATCAGCCACTATTGTAGAGGTTAATAAAAACATGCAAGCAGATCTTCATAATTCTAGCATGATGAATGATCTTAGCAGTTCAGTAAAACTCTGAATCTGAAAGTGTGAGACCTCACACACCGTCTTCAGATGTTTCCAAATCAAATTACTGATACTACTTCAGTTTAAATTACTTTGTTCCTCTTAATTCTGGTTTTGGCTATCTTGCTTCAAGGTATCTGTTACAATAACATGTTATATTTGACCTTCCAGCAACGGAGAGATAGTATCACCTGTTTATATGTAAACACAGACTGTATGAACAAGACAATCCAAATTTCAACACTTGACTTACCCTTTAATTTCTACAAAAAGGGCAAACAGCCATCCAATTTGTAAAAAGGGCACCCTTAAAAATTAGTCACAAAACCCCATTCCTTACAGGAGCCTTTGAAGAGTCACAGAAGACTCAAGGCAGCAATGCAATAATCCACAAAGAAGGCTACAACAGGTCAGGAAATTAAGAATTACCGTTAGTTTATGATCAGTCTCTGGAGTGCCCTTGGATATCTGCAATTATACATCATAATTCTTACTGCCACTAGTGTGCAGGACCTGGTGCTTCTAGAAGGTAACAAGAGAGTCCAGGCTTAATCTGTTGTTCCTCTTATTTTGTGTCAAAATTCAGCACTAACTCTCTTTAGACTCTAACCTACACTGCCCTCAGAAGCGCCCAATGGATTCTGAGTCACTTAATAAGTCTTTGGCGACCTTTTCTCACCTGTGTTGGCAATCATTTATTTCTTCCAGTTTTATAAAATACATCTAGCAGCATTCTTCCTGTACTCTTAAATTACAAATCACTGCAGAAACACAGACAGCAACTGCTCACAGTCACACCGCCTTCAACCCGCTCAACCTGAAACTAAAAAAGCAAGGTAGTAGGTGTTGTAGGCGTGGAAAAGCCTAGCAAGTGCAGGCTGTGACAGGCAACACACCTATATTGGCAGCTCGTCAGAGACTGCTCTGCCAATCAATAGCCCCTACGTCCTTGCCCTCTACTCATCTCAACAGACCAGGGCCCAAACCATTAAATATCGAAAGCAGCACCTCAGCTTATCCACAGGATTCCACAACATGGAATTGTAGTGCATTAGAAGCTAAGATCAAGCATTGCCAGTCACAGCTTGCAAGCACTGCAGCATTGTACATGAATTCCAACTTCTAACAGTGGTCTGCATGGTCTCAAAACAGAACTTCACAACTGTACAACAGTGCAACAACCTTGAGGGCATTCAGACCTTCCCAAATCTATCCTGCATTAGGGAATGGCTACATATCTCAGCTGTCTAGAAAACCATTTTCTTGACGTTATGACAACTGAAACAAAAGGCAAAGTGATCAGGAGCCCTCAAGTATAAGCAACTCTTCCCTTCACACTTAAGAAGATGCTTTACAGCGGCAAACCACTGGGCTCTGGCAACGATGATGTAATGCAAAAACTCAGTCACACAGTCTGGGGGACATGGTGGACATTACCTCAACAAGACCAGAAAGACAGGGAAGTGCCCCAGTAGCCATACATTTACTACTATACCCATGACTAGAAAGAAACATGCCATAAATGCCAGGACTGGAGAAAGAACAGGATGACATTTTGTTTGAGAGTCACAACCACAGGGCAGTCAAAATTCCCACAAACAATAAACCGTATGATGTTTACAATAATGTCTTAGTAAGAGAATAGCTATCATTTGGCTTTTTCATTTCATATCCAATTTCAGAGAAATCCTTATACTAACACAGAAAGGGAAGCATATCCATAAAAAGAGAGAAAAAGCCAAGACTTTATGAGTATACATATTTAACTGTGAAAGGAGGAAGCGGAGGAGAAGGAAGAAGAACCCCCTCCCGTCAGAGGGGTCGTACAGCCAGCATAGCTATTAGCTGCACAACCCACCCGGGGGGGGCTTCTGGAGGCTGAAGCCCCTGGGCCGACTGCCAGGCATGTCTGCCCCACTTATCAGTGCAAATGCCAGACAGACCATGGAACAGAGCTTCTCAGTTTTAACTGTTAATATATCAAAGTTTTATTTGGAAAGAAGCCAGAGACTTTCAATCTTAAATTATAGCATGTTTTAAAAGCTTTTTCGAGCATGGAGATGCAACACTTTGGAAGAGCTAGACAGAACACAAGTGATTATGAAATAAGGTCACCAGTAGCTGTCAGGAAGATTTTAAGATGGCTCCCACTGCAAGAATTTCCCAGGCAAGCAAGCTCTCTGGAAGAGGCAGTTCATAAGAGTTCATCCAAGGATGACCCATTTTCTAATCACAGCAGCAACTGAACACAGAAGTGTAAAAGGAAAATAAATAAATAAAGGCTACAGTCCCTGTAGCCTGAGACTGAAAGCTGGGAAAGAGAAGCCATATTCGATAAAAACAGAAAGTCAATTTACGTAAACTGATGTCTGCATGTGGCTGACAAGTTTGAGGGAACATGAAACAAAACAAACAAAGAAAACAAGTGTTCTGCAGAACCTGCAGGAAATCGGAGCATGCACACAGCAGGCAAGCACTGATCGGAATTAGTGCTCCTGTGCCTAACTCAGTCAAGTCAGCATGCTTGGGGCAAACACTTACATTTTTGTAGACTTAGGCCACTGAGATAGTGAAGAGGCCTTAAACTCTCAATTTTACAGTGACGTTCAGCTTGTGTGTAATTATTTCTAGTGCACAACTAAGGTGCTCTGGATTTAATATTTACGTAACTTATACTTGCCATTTGTATAACAGTAGTAGCTACCAGTGGTTTCCAGTATGCTAATCATCCACCAACCAGAGGAGCACACAAGGCAGACAAATAAGCTGGAAAAAAACTGAGGGTTGCCATAGTTTCAATTATTTTCCAAAACAAAGCACTCTCAGTAAGCAGATTCCAATATATTAAAAACACAGCGCCCTAATCTCTTAAAAGCAGGTTGCACAGAGGCAAAATAAAGACTGCAGGATGAGGGAGGAGTTCCATATTTTACAATAGAGAAAATTCAAAATTATCAAACACCAAACACGTCCTCTTAATATACACAAACACTACAACTTCTCTTCTCTACCGCTCGTTTTTTTCTCCTAAAAGAAAAAGCTGACTTTGTGCTAAGCCTGCACTAAATTTTATTTACTGCTGTATGCTGTAATTGTACTGTCATTCCTGAAGAACTATCTGATCTTTTACTC